AAAGTGTCTTCGAAGACAAAGAATATGGCCACCTGGTATGCTATTACTTTCCAACTGGGGAACGGCACAGTGGTTATGTCCAGACCAAACAAAGTAGCAATCGGATGGAATGTGAAAATGAGGGGCAGCTCGATTAGAAAATGCGCCGCTAAAACTGATCTCATACATTTCCATTGCTCTGATACTGTGTTAACTGAATCCTACTCGATGACCGAAAGGGAGGGAAAAGAATATTAACTAATGCGTGCAAGGCGCGTTTTAATTGTTACTCCTTTTAAAGGAAACCTTAACCTTACGGGTTGAAGTTTGTATTTTTTAAATGCAGGTATGAAATCGGCAATCCAAAACGGCACACAACGACCAAAGTATGTAACTTCGTGCATAATAAAGGAGATTAAAGCGGTAGCGACAACTTCGTTGTCGAAATAGCTAAACCATCCGGCCCACGCCTTTTCAACAAAGTTCAACTCATTTTCCACCGGCAAAGTGAAATTACCAAGCGCCCTAAAAATAGAAGAATGCGTTACTCAAAAACAAGTCGCTTTTCTCTGAAGTTCATGATTGAGAGAAAAATATTTACATTTTGGCAAAAAAAATTAAACGGTACAAATGTACGAAGGGTTAATTTATAATTGAAAAAAAAATAACACGCTTTAATTATTGTCGTAAATCTATCGCAAACAGATGATTCAAACAGGGATGTCATCCGAGCGACTTTCGCCAAATCACCAAGTCATTTGAATTTTATTATAAGATCTTATATATGGTTTAGTCGAGATGTTGATTTTTGACAAATTTTACTTATCCACGGGTTGTGAGTTAATGATCAATCTATTAATGGTTAAAATTGTCTTCACAGTTTGGTCATTTTAAAAAGTCGTTTTATGAACATTTCCGGTCATTTTCAACACTGCCGCAAAATGGTATGATTCTTAAAATATCTGGTTTTTTTTTCTACCCAACCGAAAAGAACGAACATATTACTGGCTGGTTAGCTTTCCCTATATGTGTGGCGTAGCCTGAACACGATTCGATACGTGTTATAAGGCTAGAAAATTTTATTATGTTCCTAACTGGTTAACCACCAAACCGTATTACCTTTTTTGAACTCAATATTAACATCAAACACGGTTAACCATAATGTGTCTCCTAATTCAATGGTCTTTTTCTTATACAATTAATGTGTTAGACGCGAATTTTAGAAGAGAAGTTTGCAATCAATTGATGACGTTATGAAATTTGTTCTGCACTAGTCTTCAACACGCTTAATCTGTCCGTTGTGTAAATTTGATCATTTGCTTTTTAAAATTTTGAATTACTTTCCTAAAACAAAAAAGTTCCAAAACTTTGTTAAACAAAAAAAAAAATTGACAATTATCTGAACACAAGATCGGTAATAATTTTAATATTTACTATTATGCCCATAGTGTAATCTAATATCGAAATTTACTAAAAACAATTAAATAATTCAGGAAGAACCAAAGTTATTAATTTAAAAAAATTTATTGTATTCCTTATGTTTTACCGTTCATTTCTGTGTAGATGATTATGTCGCAATTAGATGTTCAATGTGCTGTATGAGTGTATTTTTTATTTTTCAAAAAAAAAAAAAAGAAAATAATAGTGTTACTAAAAAATTTTATATACTGTATATACTGTAAATAATTGTTTAAACATTCATAAATAGATGTTATTTAAAACTCTTCTTATTGATTCTTTTGTTAATCTCAAAACAAAAAGTTTTATATTTTTTCTAATAATAAAATCCAAATGATTTCTTTTACAAACTCGATTCTTAAAATTAGCAAAATAAACAAATAGCTTATTCATTCATTTATTTAATTAATCAATTTTATAATAATAATACAAGAAGTATATTTAAAAATTTTATATCAAAAATATAGATTATACAGTATATTTAATTCACTAGTCAAAATAGCATCATTTGGCATGCTGCCACTCATCAAACATTCAGATATATAACCATTTGGCATAATATCACTTGGCAACAATTTGACATATGCTGAATTATAAAATAATATTTTATTTTTATTTAATTTGCTAATACTTGCCAATTATTTAACATATTTATATTTGTAAATTAATTATAATAATTGTAAAAAAAATAAAATAAAATTTAAATTTTTTTTAAAAAAATTAAATTTAAATACAAAAAATTGTTTTATGTCTAATTATAGTCAAATTTTAGTAATTTAAATATTATACTTGCAGTTTAATGAAATTATAGCTAAATATTTACAAGAATTATATCAGTTTGATATTTTATATCTAAATGGAATAAATCAGTCAAAAATATTGTGAATAGAAATTATATATTTATATTTAATTGAATAAAATTCAGTTTCTATAATTTAATATTTGTTTTATTTTCTGAGTCAAAATAAATCTCATATTTGCCAAATTAATTATCAATTTATGATATACAACATTATTCAGAAAATTAATTAAATATATGAAAAAAATTGAACTTGTTACAGATCTACAGTAAATTAATACTTCCATCATGATTTACAAATCAGGTTAATACAAATGAACCCTTTATATTTCATGAAGATATAAGAAAATCAAAAATTTCACTTTCTATTCGGCATCTTCCATATTGATTTGTTCTATTTTGAATAACTATCAAATTATTAATATCATTTATAAATGGTTTTCAAAAGTTTATTGTTTTATATAAAGCCTCATAATATTCAACTAATAGATCCAATATTTTGGCAGGTAATATTAAATTTAAATTTTTTGGATACAATAATTTACCTGGAAATTTTTTTGATCTATTGATAATTGTCTTATAAATGTTATATATATTGTTTAAAAATTCATCAGTCAAAAATTAATTCAGTTCAAAAATTGAATTAACATTTGATCTATTATTCAGAAATTCAAATCCTATTTTATCTGAATAAGTTAATGTCAAATGTAAAATTTGGCAGCTATTTATTAGTTTTTGTATTAATTCTAATTCAATTTTTCAATAACTATTTGACAAAGAACCTATATTAAAGTTTATTTAATGAATACTATAAGTAATAAAACTAATATATATTAAAAACTTACCAAGTATACTATTTATTCTTTTAAATAAAAAGTATCAAAAAACATATAATGACTCATAATCATATGTATATTCATACAAATGCAAGAAAAAATAAAGATTTGATATAATTTTTTCCACTTCATATTTTTGTTTAATTAATTTAATAACTTTAATTAACCTTTCATATGTTTTATTTAATAAGTCTCATCTTATAATTTGACATACTAAAATTTGATATATTTTAATAAAATTCATTAAAATTTAATAATCTGTATTCGAAAGATATTTTCATAAAATAATGATTGCATATATTGTAAAGAAATTTTGCTACTGATTAGCAATAAAATTTGAGAAACCTTTATCAATATTTACTTTTCTTGGGATTTATCCAATATTGATAATACTTGAAACTCTTCCATCATTGATTGTATTTCATTTAATATATTGTTTGTTAATATCCTCTTCAATTCATATTTGTTTAACAAGTCATTTGCCAATATCAAAAAAAAGACAATGCATAGGATTGATAACTAAATACTAAATAGGATTAAAGTATAGTAGGTAGAGAAGTTCTGATCACCTGACATGATTTTTGCTAACAAATCATTTTTTGTGTAGCATTAGAACTACAACTTCTCTATTTAATAAAATTTCATCTATGAGTTGTTAAATCCTTTGATATAAATCATTTATTTATATTATTTATATTACTATAATTATATTAATTATTGATATAATTTGCTTTTTTCTTATAGTGATAGCATTATATTAGTACTGAAATATATTCATATACTTTTTATACTGCAGAAATATTACAAGAAATTAAAATCAAAGCAGCTTGAATTATTTTTTTGTTCTTATTTTTGACAGTAAAATCTAATATTACTCCTTGCTATAGTTGCAACAATTCATTTACAATTGATGAAAGGTAATGATTTATTTGATGCAAACTTGGTTTACTAGGGCCTGATAATATATCAAGAATCAACATATTTTATACTTAAACTGTATTTCATATAATATATTAGTAATTACCATATACAGTATATAACACCAATATTATGTGTTTTGTTATTATATGATTAAAACCAATCAATATTTAATACCAATCTTAAGTATGAATCAGTTTTTTCTTTGCTAAAAAATAATTCTGAATTTTTATCTTCAAAGGTTTTTCAAATATTGTCATTATAAATATCACAAAAATATTCATCAAAATTTAATTGATTTGTTCAATATCAAAGATTAGATTCGAAACCTGGATTTTGATATATTTGTATTAATTGATATCAAATAATAACATAAGGAAAAATTAATTCTGACTGATTGATTATACTTTCATTTAACGATTTTGATTATGTGAATAATAAAGTATTACAATATTTTTTTCAAGTTGTAAAGTTTGAAAAAATTCAATATGAACATATTTTATAATAGATAGTCGATTGTTTTGTTAAAAATGGATTATTTCATTCTGTTTATATAACTTGTGATATTTTTGGCATGTTACAAAACTAATAAATTGATCTGAAAATTCAAGAAAATTTTGATAATATACAAAGATTCACAGAAAGATTCAAATTCATTACTATCAATTTTAATTAGTATTAATTTTATAAACTTTAAAAGTGCTTTTATTATATTATTTGATAAATTAAATTTTATTTTAAAGTTCATAATCCATAATAAAATCCATATAAATCAGCTATCAGTATCAATAAATTTATTTGGCTCTGGTAATTCAGAATCTAAAAAACCTAGTGTCAAATAATCTTCGAATAGGTCATTTAATTTATCAAAAGTTGTACTATTATCTTTAATAATATCATCATTAAAAATATCAGCATCAAGAATATTGACATTAAAAATATTGTTATGATCTTATATTAGGCTTTTCTGATTATTACCTAAAGATATAATTTGATTTTGTCAAATGTTTCTTGTTCTGGATCAAATATAAATTCTTGCTTTGTTATGACTTTTTTTTAAATTTCTGATATCTATAAGAAAATTCAGTTCAAGTATTAACAAGTAATTTATTATATTTGTCACAATTATAAAGAATTTTGTTTTAGATTTTTTTCTTGAACTTTTATTAAGTAAAGTTGAAATTAAATGCTTTCTTGATATTTAAAATAACTAAAATGAAAAAAGTTATTTAAATTTTATATTGTTAAATCATAATGCAATAAAAGTATAAATATAATATAATACAAATGTATTATATTATATAAAAAGCAAATAGTTAACAAATCATTTTTTTTTTTTTTTTTTTTTACACGACTAGCAGGGCCTTACCCAACGTCGGACGAATTTATTTAGTTCACATATGT